CTCCAGAGATCCTTGAGATTGCCCTGGGTCCGCTGTCGGATGGGGATCGCATCCTTTTCGATCGGGGGATCTTTGAGCATCCAGACTCGTTCTGGCCAAGGGCCCTTAGCTCGGGGGGTGGGGCCATCCTGCCAGCTACTGAGGAAGAGGACTTCTCGGAGGCGCTCGCTAATGGGGACCTGCAGGGCAGTATCTATGTCGACGGGAGTTGTTTTTGGCATCCCATCTCAGAACTTTCAAGGGCGGGCTGGGGGGTTTGCATGGTCTCTCCCCAAGGCTCCCTCTTGTGCGCCCTGCATGGCCCTGTGCACCACCCGATCAGCCAGACAGCACCAGCTGGGGAGTATTGTGCCCTCGCCATGGCCGCTCTCCATATTGTTGCCAATTCTGAGGTTTTTTCTGACTGCCTTGCGGTAGTTAATCATTTCCGCCTGCCCCCTAGCGAACGTGTTTCGTACAGGAGGCGCTATGCTGGCCAGTTTCTGTATATCAATAGTGCCCCGTTCGTCCAGTCAGTGGTGAAAGTTAAAGCCCACCAGGACAAGGACGAGGTAGGCATTTCGGATGATGAGAGAATCCGTAGGTTTGGTAACGATTTTGCCGACAAAGCTGCGCAGCGCGGGGCCCGCTCTCACCCCCAACCGTCGCCCGACGAAGAAGAGCGAGTGAACCGCGCTGTCAAAATTAGTAAAGTAGTGTGCCGACTTGCGGCCAAGTTGCTCCCGATGTGGCCACGATTGAACTTGGAGGACGCTCCGCTTGTCACTCCTTGCCGCACCACCCGAGGTCCCGAGGAGCCCGTGGTCCAGCATCAGTGGCAGTGGCAACACTCAGTGTGGAGGTGCGTTGTGTGCAGGTTAGGCTCTCGTTCTTGTGTCAAGCCGCCTGGTGGATCGTGCATCGGCGAAGCCAGCGCAGATCTGGACATCGCTGATTCTCTTTTGCACAGCGTTGTGATCCTGCCGTGCACGGATGGTTCTGATTTTTATTTCTGCCCCAAGTGCGGGGGATTTATGCATCAAGCTGTGTTTGTCAAGACTGCTTTGTCCAAGGAATGTCCTAACGAGTTGCGCGGCCATGGCCGCGCGAATTTTAACAAAGTCATGCTTGGCCGCCACCCAAGGAAGAACTTGGGTGTAGGCCGACCAGAAGAGTTGCCAGCAGGGGCGATTTCCGTCCTTGCGCCCTCGTCCTCTTTGCCCGTCCCCAACTTTTGATTCGGATTGTTCGAAATCATTGGTCTCAGAGCGCCTTCCCTTTAAGGGTTGTGTTTTAGTTTTGTCTCGTCCCCTCCGCGGGGGTCGAGGAGCGTCCAGCCTCCTTTTGGCGTCGTGTTTCGGCCCAACAAGGTTGCCTCGCTCTGCCATCAGCGTGGAGCGTTCGCAGCAGGCTGAGATGTTTTTCCCTCTGCTCCCCCCAACGCGGGCGGGGCGAGGGGACGCCGCTGTTTCCACGGCACTGCGGGACTGGCAGCCATTTCGGCGTGAGTCCCCCCGCAGTTGCCGTGACGTCAGCGGCGGGGCAGGGCTGGTGGCGTAAGTGGCATGTGGCGCCACCCAGCCCTGCCCCTCCTCTGGGGGGAGGCGCCGTCCCCCCAGAGAGTACGGCTTGGCAGTTGTTGATGTTAAAAAAAATCCTCCTTCGCCTCCTCCTCCTGGACTTTCTCCTTCTCCTCCTCCTTCGTCGCCTCCTCCTGGACCTTCGCCTCCTCCTCCTCCTCCGCCTCCTCCTCATTCTCCCGCGGCTAGGTGGGCTCAGTTGCATTCCGTCGGTTCGGTTGGGTCGGCTGGTGTGTTGTTGCTGCGCCGCTGCGCCTGCTGTTGGCTTCCTGCTTGTGGGCTGTCGGTATCGGTCGTTTCCGGTTTGTCCGCGACTAGGTGGGCTCAGTTGCGTCGCTTTCGGTTGCATTCCGTCGGTTCGGTTGGCTTAGTTGTTGTGTTGTTGCTGCGTCGCTGCGCCTCCTATTGGCTGCCTGCTTGTGGGCTGTCGGTATCTGTCGGTTCCGGTTTCGCTGTCGGGGCGGTCGGTCTTCGTTTGGCCTAGACGGCGTCGGTTACCGTCCCGCGGTGCTGTCCTGCCAAAAGTTCGATGGGAATACAGACGTAGCGACGAGGGGGACCGCGGAGGATCCCCGAGGGCACAGGAGCGCTCGAAGGCATTTGGAACAGAACAATGTTTGCCAGCGTGGACCCTTAGCAGCATGGTATCGCACTGTGGATGTGTCTGCTACGTGGTGCAAGCTAGGCGGTGCAGGCTATGTGGTGCACTGGCTTCTGTCCTGCATCTTGCGGGGCGGTCCCCCAGCAAGACTACCCATGTGGAACGAACAAACATCGCCCCGGCTCCCTCGCACCGCCAGCTTGGACGGAGCCCAGTCCCTGGACGTCGCGACTCTGCACGACGCGGCGAGAGGGTCTGGGGCGCAGGGGCTCGAGCTGGACGCTGTCTGGGCGAGCCCGTGGACCGCTGTCGCTTGCACGTCGCTCTGCAGCAAGAGGGCGGGCGGAGGACAACACGAGGGAGCACGCGGACGAACCGAGGCGCGGGCGGGGCTGCCCCTGTGATGCGGCCCTGCCGTGCCGTGCCCCGGAGGACGACGCCCGCGACGACGACGACGACGACGACGACGACGACGACGACGACGACAACGACTGACGACGACGACGGTCTCGCTCGAGCCCCGCTGGGGTGGCCGCGGCCTTGGCGGGGGGGGGCGCCCTCGCGCGCGCTCGCGCGCGCCCGCGCGCGGTGGCCCATGGGGTGCTTCGCCAGCAGGGCAGGTGCCGCCGGGGCCACGGGCGCGCCCTCGTGCGAGGACCCGGGCCGCTCGTGTCGCGGGGTCCCTTTGTCTCGGCGGCGGGCCAGGGGGGGAAAGAGGAGGAGGCGGAGGAGATGGGAGAGGAGGGGGGGGAGGAGAAGGAGGAGGAGGAGGAGGAGGAGGAGGCGGAGGATGGGAGGCGGAGGAGGCGGAGGGGAGGAGGAGGAGGAGGAGGAGGAGGAGGAGGAGGAGGAGGAGGAGAGGGAGGGAGGAGGAGGAGAGAGAGGAGGAAAAGGAGGAGGAGGGGAGGAGGCGGAGGATGGGAGGCGGAGGAGGCGGAGGCGGAGGAGGAGGAGGAGGAGGAGGAGGGGAGGAGGAGGAGGAGGAGGAGGAGGAGGAGGATGAGGAGGAGGAGGAGGGAGGAGAAGGAGGAGAGGAGGGAGGAGGAGGAGGAGAGGAGGAGGGGAGGAGGAGGAGGAGGAGGAGGAGGAGCAGGAGGAGCAGGAGGGGGGAAGGAGGCGGGTGCCGCGGAATTGGTGGGACCCCAATCCTTGAATAAGGCCGCCAAAAGAATAATAAGTTAGCCCTTTCTGGGGGGATCTATACACCTTTCAAGGCTGTCGGCGAACAGTTTTTCGTCGCGGCGCGCCAGAGGCAATCCGCTCACGCGCTCCAGTAGCTGGGGCGATGTATGTGTCTGGCAGCACGAGGAAGAGACAGCACAGACGGCGGCCGCGGAGCAAGGGCGAAGGGGGGGCGTCTCATGAATGACAAACGGGACATCAAACAGCAAAACTCTGAGTTCCGCGCGGGTGCCTCGGATCGGCGCTGGGGCCCCCTGGCGGCGCCGGCGCCGCCTCTTGCGCGCTCCGCGCGCCAGGAAGGGGGGTCCAGTACCGTTCCGAGAGATCCGCGCGGACCTCAGAGTTGTTATGTGTATGCCATTCTTTGTCCCTCTATCAGAATCCCTCCAGCCTTATGAGAAGCGTTTTACGATTTCGGAGCGGGCTTGGATCACTCCTGAAAAGGCCAGAGGCCTTCCAAGCCTTCCTCGAACTTCCGCCCCTCTGCACTTCCCCCTGGCTCGCAGCCGAATGTCGGCAACATCCGTCCGTGTCCTTCCCTTGATGTTTAAAAGACGCTTCCACTGTAAAGTCAGTCAGGCATGCCCAACACACACGACCATACCAGCGCGACCATACCCAAAACGAGCACTGTAAACTTAGTATAAAATGGCCTTGGGCCAGTCCATCGGGTCAGTGTCCTCAGGGATGCTTCGTCAGAAGGCGCCCCAGGTCGAGCGCGCGAGCGCGCGTCGTGGAGAGCTCACGTCGGTGCATCCTGCCTAACCTCCTCCTCCTCCTCCTCCTCATCATCATCATCATCATCATCTTCATCAGCATCATCATCATCATCATCATCATCATCATCATCATCATCATCATCATTATTATCACCCTCATCATCCACTCCACCTTGTCTCCCTCCTCCTCGCTTGCTCTCTCTCTCTCTCTTTCTCTCTTTTGTTCTCTCTCTCTCTCTCTCTCTTCGTCCTCCCCCTCCTCCTCTTCCTCATCATCATCATCCTCCTCACCCTATTCTCCTGCTGCCCCATGATCCTCCCGCTTCCTCCCTCCTTCCTCCTCCCTCATGTCTTCTCCCCCCTCGTCATCTTCATCCCTCCCTCTTCCTCACTCCTCCCTCCCTCTCTCCTTCCCTTTCCCTCTCCTCCCCACCTCCCTCTTTCACCCCCCGTCCTCTCCCATAGATTCCCACATCTCTTCCTCCTCCTTCACCCCCTCCCCCTTCCCCCGCCTCTTCCCTCATTCCTGTGAGACGCGCCCCGCGCGCTGGCGGTGGTGGTTCCGGTGGTGGGGACGGTTGTTTGTGTTGGCGTTTGACGGTGGTAGTGGTGATGGTGATGGTGATTGTGATGAGTGGTAGTGGCGATGAGTGGTGATGGCGGTGATGGTGATGGCGATGGTGGTGGGTGGGGTGGTATTGATGGTGCAGCTGCGTGCAACCGACGTTGGTGGTGCTGTCGTCGATGATCACGGCGGTGTTGCCGGTGGTGGTGATGATGATGATGATGATGATGATGATGATGATGATGACGATGATCATGATCATGATCACGATCACGGTCGTGATCATGATCATGACGATCACGATGATGATCATGGCCATGACCATGGCGACGACGGCGGAGACGATGGTGACGAACTGCACCGCCCGCCCGCAGGAGCCCCCCCCCACGCGGAGGGCCGAGGGGCCCGCCGCCGACGACGACGCGGCCCGGGCGCACGCCGCGGAGCCCGCCGCCGGCGAGGAGCCCTCCGACGGCCAGGGCGCCGCGGGCGAGGGCGCGTCCCGGGCGGCCGCAGACCGCGCGGCGGCGGTCCTCCCCTCCGCCGCCCCTCCTCCTCCTCCTCCTCCTCCTCCCTCCTCCTCCTCTCCTCCTCCTCCTCGTCCTCTCCTCCTCCTCCTCCTCTCTCCTCTCCTCCTCCTCTCCTCCTCCTCCTCCTCCCCCTTCTCCTCCTCCTCCTCCCCGTCTCGTTCCTGCCTCCAGCCCTCCTCCCCTCCCCCCTTGCCTCGTCCTTCCCCGCCTCTCCCCTCGGCCCGGCAGGGTTTTGCTTCGGCCCTCCCCCTCCTGCATCCGTCCTCCCCGCGCCTCCCCGTCGCGTTCCCCCCCGCCTCCCTGTCCCGTTCCTGGCTCGCGCCCTCCTCCCCTCCCCCCTTTCCTCCTCCCCTCCCGCCTCCTGCCGCTCCGGCGGCCCCGCCTGGCTCTCATCGGGCCGTCCCCCCGGGGACGTTTGCTGGCTCTCTCTCTCTCTCTCTTTCTTTTTTTTTCCCCCCAGCCTCCTCAACCCGGCAATCCTTCAGCCTCTCCTCCTTCCTCCTTCCTCCCTCCCCCCCTCCTGCCTCCTGCCGCCTCCTCCGTCCTCCTCCCCGCCTCTCTCCCGCCCGCCGTCCTCCCTCCCGCCGTCTGGCCGCCCTGGGCCCTCCACGGGCCCCGGGGTTGTCAGAGTGAAAGATTGGTGCGCGTAGCACGCAGTGCAGGCAGAGTCACACGGCGGTGTGCTGGCGGCAGGTTTGTTTCGCAAGGAGGGGTGGGTGAGAAATAATGAAAGCATGAATTCTATATATATGTATACAAACGCATAGACACATGTAAACATGTACATAGACATATATACGTACATAAACATATGTATGCATATGCATGCACATGTGCATTAGCATGCCCATGCAATTTACACATACATAATTACACACATACGAAGACATGTGTATGTACACATACATACACATGCACAACCACATGTACACATACATACACATGTTCACATGCATGTGCATACACATGTTCATGTACATCCGCCCGACCCGCCCGTAAAAGGTCCGCTCGGCCAGTCCGCTTCCAGGATCTCCCCTTTTCGTCGCTCATCCCCCGTCCTTTCTCTCTCTCTCTCTCTTTCTCTCTCTCCTCCCTCGCCCCTCACCGCTCAGCCTTCGTCCCTCTTCCTCACCCCTCTCATCATCGCTCATGCCTCGTCCTCTCGCTCCCTCGGCCCTCATGCCTCATGCCTCGTCCTCGGCTCACTCGGTCCTCTCATCATCGTTCATGCCTCGTCCTCGTCCTCATGCCTCATCCTCGCTCGGCCCTCTTCCTCCCTCGTCTTCAGCCCCCTCCTCATCGCTTATACCTCCCAGGGCTCGAGCTGAACGGTGTTTTGGCGTTGTCGTGGACCGTTTGCGTTTTTTGATCTCGCCTCGCCGCAGAGGCAGAGTGAAGACAGGACGAGGGACAAGGAAAACATAACGGAAGCGAGAAGCACCGTTTAGCTCGATCCCTGGCACCCCCTCCCTCGGACGGAGCAGGTGGAGCAGATCCCCCTCCCTGGCACCCCCTCCCCCTCCCTGCCACCCCCATCCCTGGCACCCCCTCCACCTGGCACCCCCTCCATCCCTCCCTCACAGGCACCCCCTCCCCCTCCCTGGCACCCCCTCCATCCCTCCCAGCCACCCCCATCCCTGGCACCCGCACCGCCGCCCTCGGACGGGAGCAGGTGGAGCAGATCCTCGCCGCGTGCCGCGTCGGCCGCGCCCTGGAGGCCCAGCGGCTGCTCGACGCGCTCCGCGAGGACGCGCTGGTGGGCGAGGCCTCGGCGGCCCGGGGCGGGCCTCGCCACCGCCGCGGCCCCGCCGCCCTGGCGCGTGCATCGACGGCGGACGCCTCCAACCTCGGGCGGCATCCCAGGACTGCGTCGGGCGTGTCCTCCTACAGGAGGGATATGTATTTTAAGAAGGTGAGCGAATAGTCTTGACTTGTGTTAAGATATTGTTAAAACATTGTTTGAATAGGAGGACGATGTTAAGGAGGAGTACTGTTTAAACAGGAGGACGACTACGTTTTGACTTCTAATAGAGGAGGACTATTGTTTAGATATGTCTGACTATGTTTGAGCATGTTTTGGCTTTTTGTTAGTTCTCGCCCGACATCCGCCTGTAGGTGGGCATGCCCGACTTGATCCCAGAACCCCTCCGCGTCGTGGGGGAAGCTTTAGGCCTCTTAGATGGGGTCCGAGTGGATGGGGTCGGAGGGTCGCGTCGCATCGCCGATGCATCGGTGATGCGGCTCGATGTGCAGCCCGATGCTCTCCACGCCGACGTCGACGGTGCATCGCCGATGCATCGCCGATGCATTGGCGATGCGGCGCGATCCCCCGACCCATCTACTCGGACCCCATCTAGGAGGCATCTACAGAACCCATCCGCGTCGTGGGGAAACCAGCACTCGAGCAAGAAGTAACGGCATGCACATCGCCTTGTGGGAGCTCCGTGCTGATTTCTTGGACCTGCGCTGGGCCCCCGAGGCTGCGCCTCCGACCCCGCCCCTGGCGCCGATCCAAGGCAGCGGCGTGGACCTCCAACGGTTTCTGCTCAAGTCATGGCTTGCCTTCCAATCGACCCAAGCCCCCTCGCGTCGTGGGGATTAACAACAAGGCGGACAGCTATTGTTTGCGACCTTCGGCCCCTGAGGACCCTGGCTAGGCCCCGGGACCGTCAAAAAGCCGACTCGGGATGAAAGGCTGGTCCTGGGCAGTGCGTGGAGACCCCATTGCGGTCGAGCTTACGAGCAAATCGCGACGTCGGGCTCTGGGATTTGGGGAGGCTGGCGAGAAGTGGGTCGGGGTCGGCCCGTCGATTCTTTTTTCCGGTCCTGGCTTCCCTTCAGTTCTGCCTCGTGCCAACGGTTTCAGGTTTGCTTCGGCCCCTGCCCACTATTTACAGCCCCGGCCGCTTCCATTTCCATGGAAGTCTTGGCGTCCACTCATCAAGTCCCCCCAATCCTCTTCATCATCCTGCTCGCATCGCGCCCCGCTGGTACGATCGGCCTGCTGCCGTGGAATTGTCGCCGCTCCCCCTCCGTCTCCTGCTCTTCCTCCTCTGTCCGTTCCACCTGCGTCCTCCGCCCTGATGTCCTCCATTTTGCATCCTTTTCCTCCATTCCTGTTCCTATAAATAGCCCCTCCCTGTCGCACCCCGAGGCCGGTCGAAAGGGCGGGCTGGGCGTGTCGCTTGGGACTCCTTGAACACTTCTGACCCTGATGCAACAGCTTCGCAGATGGAGGGCGTGTGGTTTTCAAACTTTGGCTGTCGCCATAGCGCCGCGCACATTCGTTTTAACATCCCGCAAAAGCTTCACGAGCGGAGGACGGGTGGTTTTCAAAATGCGAATCTCGCCAAAGCGCCGAGCACATTCGCTTTAAACGATTGCAGCAAGAGTTTCACGGATGGACCGCGGGCCGTTTTCAAAATGTGGTTCTCGCCTCAGCGCCGCGCACATACGTGATACACCTTCCCCAGAGTCTTAGGGATTGGGGGCGGGGTCGTTTTCAACATTTCCCGCCCAAACGCCGCGCGCACCCGTTTCACAAAAATTGGCAACAGCTTCTCGGAGTGAGGGCGGGTGGTTTTCAAAATGTGGCCATCGCCCCAGCGCCGCGCACATGTGGCTTAATCATTTGCAAGAGCTTCGCGGATTCAGGGCGGCTCCTTTTCAACGTGTGGCTTCCGCGCCGCGCATATTCTTTTTTAAAAATAATAATAATAATATTAATAATAATAATAATAATAACAAGGTTGCGAGATATCCACGGATTCCCACTGCCAGCGTGTCAGAAATTGTAGATTGAAAGGACTAAGGATTGTGGGGGCGTAACAAATATGTTGGGTCGACGCGTTAAGCTCCAAGGAATGGTGTTCTGACGCGATTACAGATCGTCAGTACGCACCACTCCTGTTGATTCGTGGCGTTGGGGTCCCGAGAATGGTGTTCTGACAAGCTTGAGGTTTTTCGAACGGTTGCCTTCCAACGAGGCAGTTCTTCAATGGAAATAGACCCCCGTGGGGGCCAGTCAAGGGGGACATAGGAGGGATGGTTTAACCCAGCATCGTTGATGGGTCTTGGGTTTACAGTGGTCCTCCTCCTCCTCCTCCTCCTCCTCCTCCTCCTCCTGCTCGTCCTCCTCCGCCCCGGGCCTTTCGTAGCCGCTTTGGTTCAAGATGGTGGGTCTTTGGCGGGAACCAAGTGGGTGCTGATAGTCCGCGGATTGTTATCGTTTTTGTTCCTGTTCACCTCTACGGCAGCGCAAGGTGCCTTCACCCCGCGCGCACTGCTCCCTCTCGCGGGTGCGGCTGGCGGCGTGTGTGCTTAACTACGAGATTGGGATTCCGCCAGTGTTCGTTTTCACGTCCCCATCGTGGGCCCGAGATTCTGCATCATTGTCAAGATGCATGATGTGCCCCACCTCATGTAGAAGGGTGTGTCCGGCTGGTCTATTTGACCCCTTACTGAAATTCCGCAATGCCGTGTTACTCCGGTGGTGATGGCGGCTTTCACTCAAGGTCTGATCTCGGCGCTGGCGGCAAAATCGGTGATGATGACCAAGACGGTTGGTACGACAGTCGCGTCAAGGAGTTGTCCCGTGCCCGTATCAGAGACACTTCAAGGACGAGTGTGAGGAGAAGTTCGCCACCTCTACAAACCACGCGACCGCTGCAGCAGTGGCCCCCGTGGGCTTGGCCACCAAGCAGCTCGCCCCAGCGATTGCCAACGCGCCTGCCATCGCCCCGGACGTTGCCCACGCCAGCATCCGTCCAGAAATTGACGATATCGAGAAACGCGTGCAAAAACAAGTGGCCGACTCCAACCACAGGCTGGAACAGCAGACCGCCAATATCCAGAAGCACGACGGCGTTCTATGCAACATTCAGGCCCCGATGAAGGAGACCAGGAACGAGCTTGGCCAGGCACAACGTTGTCCCCGTGCTCAAACGCAAAACGACCGCACTGTCAAGCACGATATTAATTTTTCCATTATCATGGTCAAGGCGCCGGAACTGGTCCAGCAGGAGCATGCCAAGGAAACATTTGAAGTTTGGCCCAAGTCTGCAGGTGCCGAAGGCACTAGCAAGATTGAGTCAGGCAAACCACATGACACGATTCATCGTGCAGTTCGCGGGGCCTGTGGCAGTGGCATGCAGGAGAGCGCAACAAGCTTCAGGAGCTCTCACGACGAAAGAAGGTGGACCTGATTTCCCGCCCCCTGTGTCCTGACAAGCTTCCCTTCCAGATCCGCATGAAGATCGAGGGAGAGAGGTGCATCGACACGCTTCGCGCGGAGGTCCAGTACAGGAGAATCTTCTTCGAACGCGGCAACGGATGGCTCTCTGAAAGCTGGGCCCCAATGCTCAGGCTTGCGCCCAGTGCCGGCAGGGAGCCTACGGCGGGCGGTCTACTGGAACGACACAGGGCTGCCAGAGAAACATGTCGCCAGGCATCAGGCGCCACAACACATCGAGCTCATCTTGTCCCCGGTGCCCAATCCGAGTGGTGCTTTTGACATCTTTTCGGGGTTCAGCATGTCATACTGCGGACAGCGAATCCTGGCGAGTGGCACTTGGAATGCTCGGGCGCGACCCAGATGGAAGGGTCTCGTGGCTCTGGTAAAAACGGGCTACGGAAGACGGCGCGAAGCGAGGCGCGCACCCCCCCCCCGCGCACGAGGTCACCAGACCATGGGCTAGGCAAAACCCATCTTTCAAAACGTTGTTCCTTAGTCCGCGGTTTTCTGCAACGCGGCGCCGGGCCATTCTTCGAGCGACATGGTCGGCCCCGCAACGGCGCTTGCTTTTTTTTCGCAAGTCGCTGCTAGATCTGCGACAGGCGCTGGCCAGGGGCGGGGCCTTCAGAGAGCTGGCCAAAGCGGGGCAGAGCGAGCTGCGGCGTTGCAACATCCATAACCACGATCCACATGGTAGACAAAGCGTTGGAATTGTTCGCGCCCTTCAGGAAGACGTCGAGTGGGCGAGACTGGGCCCGCTCTCGCGGTTTCTCAACGCGGCCAGGGGCGTGTTTTCAGCATCGAGCAGCAAGCTCGACCTTCTTCAAGCGCAGAGGAAAAGCTCACCCTGAAGCCACAGCAACTCTTTCTACTTTGCTTCGAAACGGAAGGAGGCGCTCGACTCTCCAGTGGAGCTTTCGGCGGACGGCCCGACCCGTCTCTGCGCAGACAGAGGCAAGTTGTCGTCGCTGGAAAGGTTTGAGACAGCTACGCCAGCCCAGATGCCGGGCCACTTGACCTACAGAGGCGCGGCGGTTGAGTCACCAGGGGGCCCGCGCGACTAGGGGCATGCGACCGCGCAGCGCAGCGCAGCGCTCGGGCCATTTCATTCAGGACCGAAGATGCAGAGACCATAGAGCCTGGTCGTCCAGCCGGCCGTTTGCGAAGGTCCTCATTCCGTCGTCACCTTGGCGAGTCTCGCGCAGCATGAGGTGCAAGACCTCGCAATTGCGCCCCCCGCCTCGACCGCGACGCTGCGCAGAGCCGCTCGTCGAGGCCGCCCGCGCCGCCGCCGCAGCGATGCTCGCCGCGGCAGCTGATGCTATTCATTCACAGAATATCCCGGCCGACATGCGGCGCGCGCGGCTCGGGGGCGCGACGCCGAACGCGCGGCGCGCAGCATGTCCGCCTCGTCGGAGGACGCCGACAGCCGCGGCATCTCCGAGGGCATGGCGGCCATCGTCGACCAGGGCATCTTCAGTATCTGGAGAGCAAAGCCCCACTTCCACGCGGCAGGAGTAAGGACACACTGGCGAGCCGTGTGGACGTCGCCACAGCTATGCGCAAGAGGGGACTGGCAGCCAATATCGCCGCCATGGAGAAGAGGCCACGCACGCGAGCCCCCTTCCCCCAGCGGAAGAACAGCCCGGAGAGGGGCGGGGGCGACGACCATATGCATTCTGCCATGGGGATCAGATGCCGGCGGCCTGCGTTTGCTGGGCCCTTGCTTTTGCGGAGTTTCCTTGTGAAGCCTGTGCTAGGGATTGCGCGGGGGGCGTTGCCCTCCGCGCGCCCCCGCCGACTTCCCGCCGCCCGATCTGGGGCCGATGGCGCGCGCCGCCAACGAGATGAAGGAGGCGCGTAGCGCGCGTGGGTTCGACGACGTTCCGCATTGGTCTCGGGCGGATCCCCCGCTATGCGCTGAGAGAGCGTGGAGCACTGAGCAGTGGATGCTCAATGGGGCCGGGTAACTTCGAGCGGCGGGCAAAGCCGAGCAGGCCCCCCTTCCCAAAGGCGCTCGCCCCGGCGACTAACCAGATGGATCGGTCGCCCTTGCCCCTGGGGATCAGCGCGGGCATCTGGCGCGAAGGCGAGGGCAGGCGCAATGCCTTGGCGCGGGAGCTGGCGGCCCCAGCCTCGCAGGAACTCCAGCGACGACGCGCCCTCCCACGCGCTCAATTTGAGAATCTCAGGGCAGGAGACACCCGCGTTCGGCTCAAACCGCGTCTCCGCAAGCTGCTCATGGCTGTGAACAACTTGAGTGGGTCTACAGGGGGGCAGCTGGAGATCCAGACTCCACGCCCCCCATCGCAGTCGCGCATGATCGCGTGCACCCCACTCGCTCCTGCCTTGCCTGATGGCAAGACGGACGAGGCAGCGCGCTTTTCCGCCTTCGTCCATAACTACACCGCGAAGGACTTCACTTCCCAAGCAACGAGGCGTCTTCACCCCCAGCCCATGCGCCCCACCGAGCTCTTCTAAAAGATCGCCAGGGCACTTTGTCCCTGCCCATCCCCGGCGCTGTCGACACGCCCTTCGTGTCCGACGCGTCGCTCCAGTCGACCGGTCGATCATGCGACGAGAGTTCCAGCGCGTCGTTTCCAGCGCCGAGCTCGGCGCCCACCAGGGCGCCATCTGCGCCGCCCTCCGAGAGCCGCCCGAAATCCCCGCGCCATTCCCCCTCCCCGGGGGGGCGCGGCGGCGGGGGGCGAGGGCCCCTCGGGACGCCAGCACGGGGAGAGGGCGGGGCCGACGCTGCGGCGCGCCGCCCCGCAGGGCGCGCGCGGGGATGCTGGGCGGCTCTCGGAGGTTGGCGCGCCATCTGCGCGCGGAGGACCGGCCGAACTCCTCGGCGCGGAGGTGGGCGGCAGCCCCGCCCGCGGCGCCAGCGGCTACCCCGTCCCCCGCGGCGCCTGCCGCCGGCCCGCCCGGCCGGCGAGCCGCGCCCCCTCGGGGCGCTCTTTCCGCCTTCTCGGGCCCCGTCTTCGTAGATCTGACGGCCATGTCGCCGCGGGCCCCGCGGCGACTCTTCTGTTCGACCGCGACAGTTTGCTAGGTGTTCGGTTGACTTGGCATTTTGGTGCGGTGCCCTTGGCGGGTGGTTATTTTTCCTGCGGCGATGAGTAACATCAGTGATTCCGACGGCGAATCGCCGCCGGCTCCTGCTTTTTTTCCGGAAGGGCCTATGTGGCCGAGCGTTGCGGCCAGAGCTCGGTCAAGCTATCGGATTCCGCGTTCCCCCCGTCGTTGTGGAACACTTTCGGAGAACACCCAGGGAAATGAAAAGAAGAGACCGACGGGGGGAGGCAGAGAAGGAGGCCCTGCGGGAGTCTCTTGGGGCACTTTTGGCTCTTTGGGGGGTTTCTTGGGCCTTTTGGTAGCAATGAGAGGCCTGGGAGGTGTTCTGGCCATCTGGGGGCTTTCCTGGCCCGTTTGCCGCCGTTGGAAGCCGCCTTGCAGGCCTCTCAAGGCCGATTTGGGACCCCCATGGGGCGCTTCAGATTTTTGGTGTTGAGACCATCTTGGGCGGGCGTCTTGGAAGTCTCCCGGGGTGTCTAGGGGCCCTTTTGGGGACCCCCTCGGCCGTCAGGGGGCCGTTTGGGATGCACATTGGGCGCTTTGAGGGCCATTTTGGTGGCCTATGGAGCCGTCTTGCGCCTTCGGAAGGCAGCAAAAAAAGCAAACGTGGAAACCCTTCAAACACCAAAGGGAAATCAATGTGTTTGGCCTCGTCGGGCCTTCCTGGAGGTCTTCCTGGAGGCATCTTGGACCGCCTTTGAGGGGTTTCTTTGGCCGTGCTCGGCCATATTGGGGCCTTCTTGGACCGTCTCGGGGGCATCTTGGGACCACGTTGAGCCTTCTTGGAGCCATCTTGGCCGTTTGGGATGCCATTTCGGTTGCCTTGGAGGCCACCTTGGGCCGCTTTGGAGCCAAATGGAGCAGGCAGATATTTGCCGACCATGTCTGGGCTTTCAGCGTTGTCGGCCGGTTGGGTGGAGGGACCTTGGGAACCTTTACAAAGGTTCTAAGCCAATCGAAAATATTGCACGCCGTGTGCCTCTGTGGCGGACCGAGTGCCATTCGGCCCATCCCGCCACCGCGCCTGGGCTAGGCCTGGGGTCTCTGCTTTGGGCCTCTTGGGGCCCGTTTGGGGGATGGTCTGTATTTCTCATTCCCCTCCTCTCTCTCTCCTCATCCTCCTCCTCTTCCTCCTCCTCCTCATTATGCTCGGTCGGGCCTCGATTTCGGCACCTGGGGGCCATAAACGGGTCCGACACGAACGAACTCCCCCGAGGGAAGGGGTCGGGAATTCGTGGGCCCGCGGATTGATCCATTCACATCGTCGGATTCGCAGTTTTCCTCCACCCTCCAGCCTCATACGCCCCTGTTTGTCCTCCTCCTCCTCTTCCTCCTCCTCCTCCTCCTCCTCCTCCTCCTCCTCCTCCTCCTCCCCTACTTCCCTCAATTTGTCCGTCTCACTCGCATGTTTCATGTCTCTTCTCCTCCTCCAGCATCCTCGTCCTCCTCGTCGTCTTCCGCCTTGCCCTCTTCCCCGTCCCACTAAACTGACCCGTCGCTCAGAGTTTGGCGTCATTCAGTTTGAAGGCCACACGGAGTTCATGCAAGGACTCCTGGAGATCGGTTGCTTGCTTGCTCATCCTCATTCCCCGTCATTGTCCATTTGATTATCCGTCTAGTATGTTTCCTTCTAACTGTTGGTATCCTTTGCCTCCCTCCTGTTCCTCTTGCAGCTCTTGCACTGGAACATGAATGTGCGATTGTGTTGGGGACCATGCTGTGTGCCCTCTCCTCCTTCTTCCTCGCATTCCTCGGCAACTATCGCGACCTCGCTGCGATGCCTGGCGTGCCGTGCCACGGGCCTGAACTGCAAGCGCATTTCGCGGCGTGCGTTGCGCAAGGGGGGGAGAGTGAGGGGTCAGGGATCCTCGTGGAAAGGGCCAGTAGGTGCAGAGTCGCCCCAGGCAGGATGCGGATAAAGTCCTTGTTCCACCCGCGTGGCCCTTGCTTCGTCTCTATGCTCCCACTCTGTCCTCGCCAAAGCACTGGGCACTGGTTGGTGCACCGCCAGTTCCGTAGACGCGCTAACGGTGTGTTAGCTAACGGCGAAGTGGGAAATCCAATTGGGGGAAGGCGTGGTTCGTGGCCAAACCAATTGTAGGAACGCGTGGTTCGGGTTTTCCTACAATTTGGTGTGTCGTTTTCGTTCGATACATTGCATATTTGAAAATGTTGGAAAGTCTGGTTTTTGATTTCCTACAATTTGTTCTGCGCGGGCTCGGTCTCACAAAAATCAGATTCCCAGCATCGCCGTCAAGCAACATCGCCGTTAGCGCGGCCTTGGCAAGTACTCTTCTGGTGCCAAAAAGCCATGCGTTGTGCGGGAGTTCGAGCGAGGCGATAGCATGTGACATGCTCACCGAATGCCCCGTTTGAGATTTGATCGGCGCTGCACGCCCACACCTCCCCACTTCAGCCATGCTGGAAGACTGTGATCAATTCTCGTGTGGGGTATGCTTTCACGGTTCCTCTTCAGACTCTTCGCTCCATGCCGGTGTTCGTCGATATCGTCTACATTGGAAACCACACTTCGCATAGACGCATTCAGGGGGGCCGCGGCCGCAAGAGTTCAGTTGCCAATCGGGCGCCGAGGGAATCTCCTCGACCTCCTCGGACGACTGGCCGAAAGATGGCCGTGGATGCCCGCTTCGGATGCCTGCTTTGGCCTCGGCCTCCCTCGCGCTCCTCACTTCTTTGGGGAGGCCTGCGCCAACGTTTGTCGAAGGCATTGGAGGTCAGGCGAGGCGGTGTTCCCGGTGCGCCCCGCCGCTGGTGCAACGTGTCTTCTCGGAAGGGCGCACCCAGCGCGTCGTCCGACTTCATCCCGACCCTCCAGGGTGGCCAGCGTATGTCTTCCGTCCCAGTCGTCCCTTGCTGCCTTTCCAATGTTTCCTATCAGTTGTGCGTGCAGTGGAGACCCGTGCCAAGAAACACCCCGCTTGCCTTCAGGGTGCCCTGGGTTTCTTGGATTTCAATGGTTTTGCTATGGAAAGCGTGACGTTCCCACACCAAAAACCAATGGACGTCCTGGGGTCTCAGGGTTGGGTTTCTTGTGGAAGGTTTCTTGTGGATTAGCTTCCACTGTATTCCCTTTCTGCCTCTGCAGCTGTTCCTGTAAGTTGTGTGTAGGCGCAGCTGGTGACTTGATTACTGCGAGAGGACACAGACAGCCAGGATGCGGGGAGAAAAGAGACGCCCGTGCGAGGCCGAGGCTGCACGCATCCGCGGCGTCGCGCACTCCCTGGTCGAGGTCATCGCCAGCATGAACGCCGTGCTGGAGACCGTCACCTTCGGAGAAGCCCCTGGAACCAGCACTGACTCAGGAGCTAGGGAAGCAAAACATAACATAAACATAAAAAGTCGGAGGTCCGCGCGGATTTCTCGGTTCGGCGTTGGACCCCGCTCTTTGGCGAGCGGAGCGCGCCAGGGGCAGCGCCGGAGGCGCTGCAGGGAGCTCCAGCGCCGATCCAAGAAATCCGCGCGGACATCCGAGTTTTTCCCCAATCAGAGCTTCATATGGTTAGGTCAGGTACGCCGCCAGTTTCGGCGGCACGCCCAGGTGCCTGGGTGCCTGGAAGCCTGGGTGCCCGGGTGACAGGGTGCCCGGGTGCCGGGTGTCCAAGTGTCTGGGTGCCCGGGTGCCCGTGTGCCCGGGTATCCAGGTGCCCGGGTGCCCAGGTGCCCGGGTGCCTTATAGCCCTGTAGCCCTATATCCCTACGGCCTTAAAGCCCTATAGCCCCATAGCCCTATAGCCATATAGCCCTATAGCTCTATAGCCTTATGCCCATATAGCCCTATAGCCCTATAGCCCTATACTGGTAGCCCAATAGCCCCATAGCCATATATGGCCCTATAGCCCTATGGCCGCATAGCCCCATAGCCCTCTAGCCCTACAGCCCTATAGCCCTACAACCCAATAGCCCTATACTGAATAGCCCTACAAGCCGATAACCCTGTAGTCGTATATAGGCCTATAGCCCTATAGCCCAATATCCCTATAGGCCTATATCCTTATAACCCTATAGCCCTATGTCCCTATGGCCCTATACATTGATATGCTTATAAACTTATAGTCCTGTAGCCCTGTAGATATATAGCTCTATATGCCTATAGCCCTACAGCCCTGTAGCCCTATAGCACTCTAGCCCCATGCTCATATAGCCCTATAGCCACATAGCCCTATAGACATATAGCCCTAAGGCCCTATAGCCCCGGAACCCCATATCCCCAGCGCCCCGTAGCCCCATAGCCCTATGGCCCTACAGCCCGATAGCCCTATCA